CCACTTGAAGAACCTGGGGTACATCAAGGTAGCTTAGGCTTGTTACACCAGGGACCACCAGAAAAGGAAACAATGAATGTGTCCATGTGGGTTCATCCGTTGCAAGTTATTTATTACTTCAGTGCAGGGTGTTGATCATGGAGAAGGCTGTGCATGTCTTGGGCAGGAGTATGTGGGAACTCTGTTTATTCTACTCAACTTTGCTGTGAGCTTAAAAAGGGCTTTCAAATAAATGCAGTGTAAAGGGAGTGGCAAAGACATTTAGGAAGAAATGTCGGCCACTTCTTAGAACTTATATTTAGTCTTACCTTGTGATCAAGTAATCCTGCTCCAAGTGATGTATCCATTCAGTTTTAAAATTTATGTCCCCACAAAGCCTCCATGGGAATGTTTGCACCAGCCTGATTGATGGCCGCCTTTCCCACTCCATGAATGTTACTTACAGTGTGAAAGTTGAAAATAATATTTCCTATATAATTAGAGTGTATACGTCTTTCTATTGCTTCTTTTCGTCAATTACTTAACCCATTTTCTAAACATGTTTAAACCTTATAAATCCTGTCATCTCCTCAGCCCCAGCACAGCTGCCTCCTCCCTCAGGGTTTCTGACACTCTCAGGATGTGGGTTTTCACACTGTGTCTCTCGCACAGTAATATACGGCCGTGTCCTCAGATCTCAGGCTGCTCAGCTCCATGTAGGCTGTGCTCGTCGATGTATCTCTGGTCATGGTGACTCTGCCCTGAAACTTCTGTGCATACTTTGTGTTGCCATTGTAAGGGTTGATCCATCCTATCCACTCAAGCCCTTGTCCAGGGGCCTGTCGCACCCAGTGCATGTAGTAGTCAGTGAAGGTGTATCCGGAAGCCTTGCAGGAGACCTTCACTGAGGCCCCAGGCTTCTTCACCTCAGCCCCAGACTGCACCAGCTGCACCTGGGAGTGGGCGCCTGTGGAGAGCACACAGGAGTGTATGAGATCTCACTTGACCGGACCCAGTCCCCTCATCAGCCCTGGAACTGAGGATTCTCTTACCTGTAGCTGTTGCCACCAAGAGGAGGATCCTCCATGTCCAGTCCATGGTGAGGTGCTGTGCTCTGGGGCGTCTGTAGGGGAGGGATGTGGTTGTTGTGTGATGCTCTCTGGACAAGGACAGATCTGTATTTACCTCGGTAGACACCAGTGCATTTGCATATTCATGAGGCAGGTATTTCATAGCTCAGGCCACCCCACTCTGAGGAAGAAGATAGGTGACACGTGGACCATGCCACAGTGGGATACAGAGCTCCATGCCATGATCATTGGTTAATGATATTTGTTCTTGGACATTCTCAGACGTCGATGAAGACAGAACTTGTCTTACAGAAACCCAGAATCTCAGAGGGCATGGTCCTCAATGTGATTCCTTGTTCCTGTGGCTCACTGTCAAGGTGAACTTTTCCTGAGCCTTGCCCTCTGCACATCTAACTTCTGGGATGAGTGTGTCTCTCGATAGTAACACCCACTGAGTTAATAAAACAACCCCTCAATTGCTGACTATGAATACATTTGAAGGGTCTAGAAATTTCTTCTTTTAAAGGTGGTTTACATTAATTTTTGAAGTACGTATAGACTACATATACAAGAGAATGCTTGTATGTGTACACATCAGTACTTGCTAAATATTTATTTATTTAACACATCAGTACTTGCTAAATATTTATTTAACTTTTATGTCATCTTTGCTTTGAAATAAGGAATATCCAGTCACTAAGAGGAAACCCCTCCCCAGTCTCCTGTATTCCTGCTCGAGGGCTGGATCCTGTGCAGGGTGCATCCCAAAACCCACTGAAGCTCAGCTTCC